GCTCTGGATCAGAGTGCAGAGTTTGCAGGAGCACACTGAAGTTATTGATGAGGATGTAAAACCACAATGTTTTCAGAATTCTACTCAGCTGGCAAAACAAAAGTTAATTCTTACATTACATTTTTGAATCCTTTATTCTTCCTCCATCAAGAAAAGGCATTCTGAGCCAGATAAGTAGCCTGCAATCTGAGAACAGCTACGAGTTTCCTTGCTAACAGCTTATTTGAAGCTAATAAAAGAGCACTGGAAGTTTAAGCAGAAGAATGTGATTGGAAAGGTATTTGTTATGCCTTTTTCCTAATCAAAATACTCCTCAAAGTCTACTCTTCATTGCAACCACTATCCAAAGACTTTCCAAAGTGTATGTCCTCATACAGCTGGACTCAAAACAACTGCATCCATCCTTATATAAAGAAATATTCTTCCTGTACCTCCTCATCTTTCAGGCATTAAAAATGTCTTAAGAACGTGGATTTTCAAATGTTTGCCTTTTTTAGACATGACACCAGGAAATTTGCTATAGCTCTAGTTAAGAATGTACAACTGCTAGACGTTATTTTAAATACACACTGGTAAACTCTGCTTCCTTACCCTCTAGATGACCCTTTCTGCTGGCCCTGGCTGCCATAAGACTGCTGGTTGTATGAGCTCTGATTCTGATTTTCGTAACTGGATTCATCATCGTATCCCTGGGAATCTTGTCCATAACCTGGAAATCGAGGAAGAAAATTTTTAGTCAATATTCACCTTTTAATTCCTGCCAATGAATGTAACAAGCTAGCCAAACCTGATTGATTTTGTCCATAGTTCCCATGATAGCTTCCATAGTTCTGTCCATAGGAGGAATTGTCTCCACTCTGCCCATAACCAGAATATCCCTGTAATTTCAAGAATGTACTCAAATAAGTGTAACTTCCACAGCAGGTAATTACAGTTTTCCTTGGCCAGACACAACTGCAAACATCAAGCACAGCTGGGAATGGAATTCTTCCTGGCCCAGGAACAATTATTTTCACCCAAGGAACATCTGCTTTGAAAGACATGATGGTTTTTTTCAACATACCTGTCCTTGTCCATAATTCTGGCTGCTCTGATTGCCATAGGACGAGTAGCTGTAAGAGAAAAATGCTTTTAGGAAATGCTTACAGTGCCCTTCATACAGATTGGAAAGTAAAGGTATTTTTGGTGTCATTTTAAGTTTCTCTTCATTCCAAAATAGGTGTTTAATCCGAGTACTGCAGTTGCAGGCACTTTAGAACCACATCAGTGAACTAATTGTTTCCACAATTAGTCCTTGACTGTCAGAAGCCAGAAGAGCTTATTTTAATTTCTGCTGCATTTCAAGCATAAATTTAAACTACATGAAAGCTGGGTTTACTGTAGTTTGACAGATTCTTCAGAATCCCAGAAAACTTTATATAAAACAAAGGGCCTTTAAGTTTTTCAGGACATTCTTACAGAGTCAATTTTATTTTAATTACGGTCTGTTTGGTATTTGTTGAACTATCCAAGAATAACACCACCATCAAAACCCACTCTAGTTTTATATTATACTTACTCATTATTCTGCCACTTCAAGCCTTCAGGAACTGACAGAAGAACCATGTGCTGAAACTCATCATGCTCAGACACAGATCCAAACTCAGGCAGTGCTACATGCACTGAACCTTGTGATTTTCATTAGCACACTCAGCATTAGCTGTGATTTTCACACTTCGATAAAAACACTTGTTTCCCTGATTAAAATACGCCCCCAAATTGCAGCTTTGGGCCTTATAATAAATATAATAACCTTTGACTAAAATCTTAGTGAACAGCTTAAGGCAGTCACATGAAAAATATTTCCCTATATTCATATTTCAAAAGATCTATTATGAGATGGCATTCCAATTTACATCTAATTATTGTCCTCTCTTCAGGAATACAGACTGCTTTTTCTTGTTTTATAAGACATCTTGATAAAGGTTCAGCTGCAAGCTTTCTGCACCCATAACTCCAAAAGCATATCAACGCTCTATCATGCCTGAAGATTCAATCATCATGTTGGGAATATTAAATGGGTCTTTTATTTTATGGGTCTTTTATTTTGCTGGTGTATTTGCTAACAGTAAAAAAACCCAACCCCACACATACCTCTGTTGGCCCCCAGACTGACTGTAACTTCCAGAATCTAGAAAAAGAAACAAGTCATATTGAGAATTTCCATTTAACGTTTCAGTCCTTTATTTAGTACAGGAGGAAAAAAGGTTGGGGAGAGGTACAAAGGTTCAATGCAACTACTTTCCCTGCAGAGTTAGACAGCTTCCTCTTTATTAAGAGAAAATGTTAAGACTGGGATGATAGGAGCACAGAGTGTGGGGGACAAGACACAGCTACAGCCACTTAGAACTGTCCTTTTTGAAAGACCTGAATTCCATTTTTAAGGCACCTCTTCAAATATCTGGGACTGCACAGCCCCTCTAATGGCTACGGAATACGGTGCCATCATCAACGGGCAGAATGCAGCAGCTTAATTAATCAAGCAAAGCTAAGTAGGTTAGTCTGCTGAACACCTTTTGAAGATGCCCTAAGAAAGCTCTGCCCAGCAAAAGGGCACAGGCACGGGCAGGATGGGGAGAAATCAGGGATGGAGGAGCCGTGACAATTCCCTTTGCTCCCACTGCAAAAGGGAAAACGCTGCTGAGAGCCCAGCAGCACGTGACAGAGGCAGCCACACAGAACACACACACATGGCTCCAGCAGAATTCCCACTGTCAGGAGCAGGCTCCAGCTCTCCAGAGGCACCTCACGGCCCCTGCTGTGGGACCTCTGCACTGCACGGGCTCTCTGTCACTCTGGATAACAGTCCTGCAATTTTTCTGTTCCTTTCAAACCACTTAATGAATTTACATAAACACTGTGGGGCTGTGGTCTAATAAAAACTATCAGGAACTTCTCTGTTTTCATCCCTAATTTCAGTCTTTCCTCCACGTTCTCTCTCCAAGCTCTACACCCAGAACTGCCTAAAAAGCTGACACTGAGAATTAATTACAATGCAGGGTAAATGTCATAAATGACTATAATCATTTTCCAATCAAAGCACTCATCAAATTGCTGAATCTGCTCATTATCTCTCCCTCAGCAGGTAATAAATCCAAGCCTGCCAGTGCTTACACTTAAACACAGGTCTGATGAGGGCATCACTGGAGGTGAGGATGTGAGGTGAGGGTATCAACTGAGCTATTCAGACACCAAGCAGCATTTTTAGTGGTAAAGTATCTCCTCGGAGCAACACAAAGTATCAAATTTCGTATTCTGTAACAGAAACATTTACCAAAAGCTGAGATGAAATAATGTTTCATTTCACACGTCCTATAAAGCAGTTTTACTCAAATGTGAAATATTCTCCTCCTTTTGCACTTGTACACAAATATTTCATTGCTTTTTCATACTGAAAGGCAATTAAAACCCCAGTGTAGATGTGCAATTCAAATTTATTGTTCTAATGACAGTAAGGTAAAATTTTTACAGTTTCAATTTAAATGATCACAAAGATTGCTGTTAAATAGGTAACCACATTTTGAAGCAGGCTTATGGTTTAATTCTAAAATTTATATGCCATTAATGCTGCTAATTGAAGAAAAGAATATTAATGGTTGTATCAGAAAGAATTATTGAGTGAGGATGTAACTAGCTATAAACTGAAGGACTACATTTAATCTCCTGAGCTTCTCCCTAACAAACTTCTGCCAAACCAAAACACTTTGGGAAAAGTCTGAAAGCAACCAGATAAGAAGCCTGCAAAATATGAAAACACAGAATCAGAGGAATTTCCTTTATTTATACATTTTTCTACATCCTCTGTTGGACCTCTCGCAGATTTCTGATCAATTTATTTTCGTGGGCTCAAGGGGGACAAGAGTCTGTAAATATTTTTTGAAATAAGCTTATTCTGGAAATTCCTGGATACACATTTTTACTGAATGTTTAAAAAGCTTGTGGACAAATTTCCTGTGGATGAAGCGGGGCATAGGAGACTAATCACCTTGCAAGGCTCAGGGGGTGTATTCCTCTTAGAAGAATCTGCTGTGTACATTTGAAAACTAAGGTTCTTATATGATGTAATTTATACAAAGAAGTAGAATTGCTTTTCAATATTCTCACCAGAAAAAGAACCTCATGTTTGAACATCAGAGCTAAAAATAGAGGAGACAGGTGACTTGACTGGTCAGTAGCTGAGGTACGGAGAGAAAGTGGGTTTAGTTTACTGCCAAGTTTTACTCATTTAGTAGAAAAATCATTATTTGGACTCGTTTTAGTAGCTTTGGACACATTTACTTTCCACGGTAAACAACTGCTCCTTGGCGTAAAGGATTCCTTTAACACACTTTGCTCTGTTTGTATCGTCTATCACTCACACATGCAACCTGAGACAACACAAAAACGCCTCGACCCTAACAAAACATGGCTCGCTCCACAAAGCATACACGGCCTTGGAATTCCTCCTCCCACTCTGGGATACACTGCTATCCACGGCTTGCCAGGGGCAGCGCTGCCGGGGAGACCCAAACATCCAACCTCAAAGGGGATGAGGAAAGAGCACCAGAACATGCTCGCAGAGGCCCCAGGAGAAGCTGGGCTGTGTCAGGTCACCTGGGAGAGCAGATCCTGCCTCTGTGCTCAACTAAATCCTCTGCTGGAAAACAATCAGCCAGAGCGTTTTTAAGCCCAGAGAAGGGGGATGTGAAGCCCCGACTTTGCTCTGCTGGCACTCCCAGGGTGTGAAGAGCAGATACTGGGACACAAAGGCTGGTCCCTGCAGTGAGAAGGGGAGAGCATGTCCCATGAAAGGGAGGCACGACCCGATGGGGGGGATGTCTCCATTCCATGGGGGTGCTGATCCAAAGGGGAGCACATAAACCAGGCTGTGGGGAGTGGCAGGACCCAAAATGGGGTTCACATCTCACACGGGATGAGGGGGGAACGCAACCCAAATCGGGGGTCCACACAATGGAACAGCCATGACCCAAAAAGGGGGCATTTATATATGGCAGGGTACACGACCCAAAGGGGGGTCCACATCTCACACTGGGACAGAGTGGGGTGGGAACTGCAAGCTGGGGTTCACACGGGGGAAGGACCATGACCCACGAGGGGGGGGGCCTTACATCGCACACCAGGGGGGTACACGAGCCAAAACAGCCTGCAGTGGGGGGCATGAACCAAAATGGGGTCTGCATCTCACACCGTGGGGAGCACGGGGGGAACACAACCCCAA